TTTGGACATGTACACATGGGGTGTAAAAGATTTTCACAAATGCTGGTCAGGGTCCTTGGCTAATAGGAGACTCTGCCTTGGACCCGCCGGTGTAATAAACTGTACTCCACTATCTGCATTGTCCTTCTGAGTGACTTTGTTTCCCAGAAAGCATGGCTATAACAATGCCTGAATGACCTCATGGTTTTCTCTACTTTCTTCAACTTAAACCTGATTTTTGTAATAAGTAGCTGATGATCTGAGCCACAGTCAGCTCCAGGTCTTGTTTCTGCTGATTGTTTAGAGCTTCTAAATCTTGCAGTGCAAAAATATAATCAATCTCAATAAAGCAGTTTTAAAACTTAATGGAGAAGATATAGGAAATATATAATCAACATTGCCATTATTGAAAATAAAGTTGTGTTTCATTTACAAAATTTGCAAAGTAGAAAGCTACTAGATAGTAGCTATCCAAGAAATATCTAGTGCTGAACAAATAAGGAAGCAGGATGGGTGTGATAAGTACTAATATAATGATTAATACACAAATGATAATAACATAAAGATGATAATGCACTAAGATGTTATCAAGTATCATATATGAATGTATAAAATTGAGAGAAGAAAGTTAAGAGATGTTATAGAGATGTTATCTTAATAGTGATTTTAAACAAAAGGATCCCTGGCTTGGGAAGATCCTCTGGAGGAGGAAATGGCAACCTACTCCAGTAGTCTTGCCTGGGAAATCCTACTGTTCATGGGGTAACAAAGAGTCAGACACAACCGAGCAATTAACACTTTCATTTTCAGGTGTCATCTAAGTCAGAGAAGAGTAATAACCATTCTTGCATAGATACCTCATTTAGGGAACAGAATAATTTCCATTGGTTTATATAGTGATAAAGGAGTACTGGTTTGATAATTGCAAAATTTTAAGGGTTCCTTCTTGCTAACAAGCACAAGATGGCAGTGTTCCCTCATGTATGGATCTCAAATGACACGTAATGGCAAAGTTTTTCCTTCTAGTTTTTTTTGCGATATAGTTGACATACATGCCTATCTGCTCAGTCGTGTCCAATTCTTTGCAACCTCATGGACTGTGCGTAGCCTGCCAGTCTCCTCTGTCCATGACATTTCTCAGGCAAGAATACTGGAGTGGGTTGCCATTCCATTCTCCAGGGAATCTTCCCGACCCAGGGATTGAACCCACATCTCCTGTGCATCCTGCATTGGCAGCAGGTATTCTGTAGGACCGGCACAATCCCTAGGACCTGCCCAGTTCTATGTCTATTTTTTAGTTCTGTAGTCCCCTTATTTTATTGTATAGTCTTAGTATTCATAGTTCTTTTATTCCACCAAGTATTTATTCAGTTGGAACCCTCCTGTCTCCCATTGTGTATCTAAACTCAGCAGCCAGAAGAGGTAGAGTCAGGATTTCCTTTAATTTGTCCACTTTTGTCTCTGTTAGGCGTTCTTCTGTTCCTGTGAAAAATCCTGCTGTCTCATCCTGAACACCACTGCCTGAACTTAAATCTAGAGTTTACTACATAAGAATCCCGTGATTTGGGCATTTACTTACCTTTTCAATTTTATAGCTCCCTCATAGCATTGAAGACTTGATTTGTTAATCTGTGCTTTTAATTTTCAATTATACATTTTTCATTTGAATGTTTAAAAAATATTCCAGTTTCTTCCTGAATATTTAAATCTTGCTTTCTGTTTTTTTTCCACTATGTTTATTCATAATTATTTTAAAACTTATCTAAAATTTTTATTTTTGGATCCTCTATGTTTATCCTTGTATTATTATTATTTTTAATATTAAGCTTATAACACATGTACTTATTTCTTTTTCTGCTTGGTTATGCTATGGCCAAATATTATGTGTAAAAATAAACTAGAAATAATTTAAGCCTAGGATAATGTCATATAATATTATACAAGTTTCCAGGATATGTATACACTTCTGGTAGATGGTTATTGCCACTGATAATCTCATATTTCTTTAATAAAATCAGAATTTGAGGTTATTTTCACCTATGTTAGCCCCTCTAAGAATTTATCTATTTGTGAATCACCCGTACATCTAGGGAAGATCCCATATGGTCTAGGTATTCTCTAGGACCTGGGTAATCGCTAGCACCTGTCCAGTACTAATATCTATTTTAGTCTGTAGTCCTTTTATTTTATTGTATAGTTTTAGTATTCATAGTTCTTTTTTTCCACCAAGGAGTTTTTCAGCTGGAACCCTCCAGCTTCCCATTGTGTATCTAAGCTCAGCAGCCATGAGAGGTAGAGTCAGAGTTTCCTTGCATTTGTCCACTTGTGTCTCCCTTGAGCTTTCTCTGTTCCTGTGGAATTCCTGCTGTCTCATCATGAACAACATCACTCCCTTAGGCTCACAGGTCCCTATTCCTTATTGTACCACTAGTGTCTGTGATTCCCTCAGGCTTCCAGAGACCCATAAAACCAGGAAAAATGAAGAGCTTCTTTTATCACAGATGTATAAGCTGGAAACATTCTACACTCCTTAGAAAACACTATTTCCAATTTGAGCACTTTAACTATGAGCAAGAAAGCAAAGTGGTGAAAGTTAATCCAGTGACAGAGAAACACAACTGGCCTAGATATAGGAGTAAGTCCATTATGGGGGAGGAGGGCAGATCTGGGAGGGAAAATCACTCTCAATTTCTCAGTGGAAAGAAGGGAAGAAACTGGGGGTCAAAAGTAAAAGATTGGCTTTGGGTAGTTGGAGATAGAGAATTTGAATGAAGTGAAAAAATAGTGAATTTTACAGGGAAAAAATATATCATGTGATGCAATAATATGAGACGAAATGTGTTCTAGTTATTTTAAATACTGTGGAAAAGAGTATTTGAATAGAGTGGTGAGGAAAGAAACTTGATTATACAAATTGAAAGAAGGAAAGAAGGCCTGCAGTTTAGTAAACAGGAGTGGCAATGAGGTCAAAAGTAAAATGTGTAAGAGGCAATCTAGGGGATTTGAGAATGAGAGCACAAAGATGGACAGGAAAGGGAAAAATCACATGTATAATCCACCTCTCTTTTTCCATACACAGGGAAGAAGGATCTTATAAGTCCTGAAATGGCTTCCCTTTCATTCAGAGATCAGTAAACACAGAAATGAACTGACTTGTTTTTGTCTTTAAGAATTCACTGCTCTAAGGAGAATTGGTTTGAGGAGAATGACACAAAAGTAGAAAGTATTAGATGAGGTAAGTGGCTAATAAAATAGTTTAGAAGAGAAATCATGATAGTGGTAAACAGCAGAAGTGAATAAGTTAAAATATTTTGGGCATCGAAACAAGAGGACATGTTAGTGGATTTGAATAACAAAGGACAATGCATGTTGATCTCATGTAAATATTTAGTGGTTTAAATGAGATAATGAATACACAAATTGTTTTAAGATTTTGAAAGTTCTCTTAGATATTAGGACCTGAATATGATTCATGAATAAAACTTACGGAATTGAATAATAGTGCCTGTTTTTCTTAAGCTATGGAAAGATCTGTGTTAATAAGAGAGATCTCTACTCATGAAATTAAAAGATGCTTGTTCCTTGGAAGAAAAGAAGTGACCAAACTAGACAGCATATTAAAAAGCAGTGACATTACTTCACCAACAAAGGTCCATCTAGTCGAAGTTGTGCTTTTTCCAGTAGTCGTGTATGGATGTGAGAGTTGGACTATAAAGGAAGCTGAGTGCCACAGAATTGATGCTTTTGAACTGTAGTGTTGGAGAAGACTCTTAAGAGTCCCTTGGACTGCAAGGAGATCCAACCAGTCCATCCTAAAGGAGATCAGTCCTGAGTATTCATTGGAAGGACTGATGCTGAAGCTGAAACTTCAATACTTTGGCCACCTGATGTGAAGAACTGACTCTTTGGAAAAGACCCGGATGCTGGGAAAGATTGAAGGCAGGAGGAGAAGAGGACGATAGAGGATGAGATCGTTGGATGGCATCACCGACTCAGTGGATATGAGTTTGAGTAGGCTCTGGAAGTTGGTGATGGACAGGGAAGCCTGACACGTTGCAGTCCATGGGGTCACAAAGAGTTGGACACGACTGAGTGACTGAACTGAACTACTCATGAAAGAGTCATTGAATCATGCAGAAAAAAGCCCAGATGATTAAATTTCAGGGGATTTGGTAATAGGCCTAAGATGCTATATGGCTGTTGTGACAGACAGTCTGGCAGTAAACATATAGACTAGTTAAGTACTAATTTATTTAAATGTCTGAGGGAACTGCTTTTTTTTGTTTATTTTAATATCATTGTGGCATTAGGACTAGCACATGATGTCAGGCATATGACTGAATCTTCAAGCACTGACCAAGCCAGTCACATAACTGCAGCAACCATCTAGATGAGTTAGCCACTGTTCTGGGAAATCACCACCCACTAGAGCAGAACCTTAAAACTGATATTCATTAAAGCTATCATTGTACTTATGGGGTATTGGGCAAACCATTTGAGTTTCTAAGCCTCCATTTACTTATCTATAACATTTCTTTCTGTTGACATCACTGAGATACTTTATGGTACAAATATGATTATCAAAATGTAAAAATTCAAAATGAAGGGGACTGTGGTAAGCATTTTTATAAATTACTTAATTGTCTATACAATATTGTGGGACAAGGCTTCTTATCTTTTTCAATGAAATACGTTAAAACAATGAGCAGAAGAGCAAAAAATATACATATCAAGAGAATGGCACTATGTTATTGCAATTATAGTGGACCACTGAATCACAGTCTGTGGGTGAGTCAATTTCATTCTGATATCTAGGGATGATGAGACTGTGATTGTTGATATTTTTCTTGTAGCTGTCAGAGATGGCCAAAGGCCATATCCACAGATGGCAACATCAGAAAACTTGTGAGTTCCAGTGACAATAAAAGGGATCAATCAACAAACTGACATAACTCTCATATCAATTATTATCAGTGGAACAAATGATTGAAATTCACTTAAATAAAACTTTTGCTTCATTGCAGGGTATTACTGTTAGTCTTTGCAACCCCATGGACTGTACCTTTGTCCATGGAATTCTCCAGGCAAGAATACTGGAGTGGGTTGCCGTTCCATTCTCCAAGGGATTTTCCTGACCTACTGACCCAGGGATTGAACCAGGGTCTACCTCACTGCAGGCAGATTTTTTACCATCTGAGTGATCATTTGGGGGTAAGTACATAAAGAAACCTTGGTGGATAATATGAAAGAGAAACCAAATTCCAAATACTCTAGACTGTAAATTAAGTCAACCCTATTTACCCTTAGATGCTTTTGGATCTGATTCCCATTTAAACAAGTTTGAGGGCCTGTCTGTGTGCCTCTTTCAACTATGCACACTTGCTGCACAGTTCATACCTTATAATGTTACTTAATTATTCTTGTGGGCTTTATTCATTGGTTAAAACTAAATCCATGCATTCATTGCTTTAGTTTTTTCTGTCATACATTCTAAAATGTTTCCACCAAGTATCCTTGTCAGAGAAAATGAATGCTTTAAGGTTGTGTGTTATTATTCCTTTTAGGAGTTCACAATTTTATGGTAGGGAAATGGCTCCATGGGACAGCCTCATGACAAGCTCTAATTCGAGTATTGGACAGTTGACTTCATTCTACCTCTCTGGGATTCCTGGATACGAGGATGTTCAACACTTTATTTCCATCCTCTTTTGTGTGTTCTATCTGACTGGATTAGTGGGCAACTGTACAGTTCTTCACATCATCCACACTGACAAGAGTCTCCATGAGCCCATGTACTACTTCCTGGCCATGCTGTCCTTCACGGACATGGGCATGTCCATCTCCACCCTGCCCACAGTACTGAGAACCTTCTGGTTTGATGCTAAGGAGATTGAGATGAATACTTGTGTAGCCCAGATGTATTTTATTCACACTTTTTCTCTAATGGAATCAGCTGTGCTCCTAGCCATGGCTTTTGACCGCTATGTTGCCATCTGCGATCCTTTGAGGTATTCCAGCAAACTTACCCCACAGCGCATCGTCTACATTGGGGTCTTCATCATAATCAGATGCTCCACTGTCCTCCCTGTTGTTCTTGTTCGTATCCCCACATTTTCTTTCTGCCACTCCCATGTTCTCTCCCACTCCTTCTGCTTACATCAAGATGTCATCCGATTGGCCTGTTCTGACATCTCATTCAATGTTTTGTATGGCTTGTTTGTTGTTGCATTTTATTGGGGTGTAGATTCTTTAGGAATCTTTTTATCTTATGCTTTCATCCTCCGCTCTGTGTTGCTCATTGCATCCCGGGGAGGGAAACTCAAAGCCCTCAATACATGTGTCTCCCATATTTGTGCTGTGCTCGTTCTATATGTGCCAATGATAGGATTGTCCTTAGTGCATCGTTTTGCAAAGCATTCCTCTCCCATTATTCATATTACCATGGCAGATATTTACCTGTTAGTTCCACCAGTTCTCAACCCAATTATTTATAGCATCAAGACAAAGCAGATTCACCAAGGCTTGCTAAGGATATTATTATCCAAAAGGATTGGGCTTGCTCACACTTAGAAGATATTTGATCCCCTTTCAACCTTTACATTCATTTTCTTCATCCTGAAGATAACCTGTAAGAAATTCTTAGACACGTTTTGTACGTATAGTTCCATGATAGTCAATAAATTCTACATGTCACCTCAAGAAAAATAATTGTACTTGTTTCTATCATTACTTGCTTGTTTTAAATCATCTCAAAATCTTTGTGTCAGGAGATTTAGTAAGAGGGAATTTATTTCATTCAGCTATTTTATGGTGATATTTTCCATTTAGATTTTAGGATAAAATCAAGTTTCCATGTTAAAACTAAGACAGAGAAGTTAACTATTCAAAGGAAAAAGAGATAATATATAGTAGAGTTGGTGTTGATGGCTAGCTACATTTTGTTTCCATTGAGGCAAATTAGACTTCATTCTCCATATTTTAAGTCACATAATAGTCAAATAAATGTTAGATTTTAGAGATGGGATCAATGAAAATATTGCATTTGTCTCCTTTGCATCTACTTAAATGATTGTCAGAAAAAAGCTAGACAGTAAATGCATAGACTTACTTTTCATCAGTGGAGAAAACTCACAAGATGAATCCAGACTTCACACAAAAGGGGCTTTCTACTAGTGTAATGGGAAAAAAAATGTAAAAATCATTTGGTCAATGTACACTCTTTTTAAATCTAATATAACATGTTCAGAACTTTGAACAAAAATAAAGCAAGAGAGATTCCCTCCAGATCACCATGAATTGTAACTGCCCACCACCCTTGCTGTCTCTCACAATTCCCTAGAAAATAAGAAGAAAGATATTTTCAACAGCTAAGCTTAAAGTACACATTTTAATGAAAGAATAGAAATGGATCTAAGACAATTAGAGAATTTAAAGAGAATCCTAATAATTTTTGTACAAACACTATTTTAAATCATTCTTACACCCCCCTTTGTTAAATTATGGGAAGCCAAAAATCATAAATCAATATTTTATGCAAGGGTATGACTGGAATATTCTTTGGAAGAACTAATGCTGAAGCCGAAGCTCCAATACTTTGGCCACCTGATGCAAAGAACTGACTCATTAGAAAAGACCCTGATGCTGGGGAAAATTGAAGATAGGAAGAGAAGGGGATGAAAAAGGATGACATGTGTGGATGGCATCACCAACTTAGTGGACATGAATTTGATCATATTCCAAGAGATCGTGAAGGCCAGGGAAGCCTGCTATGGGGCCAAAAAGAGTCAAACACAACTGAATGACTGAACAACAATGGCTAGATAATTGGAAAGCAGAAAAATACAGAAAGTAACTTTAAAAATAAAACTATACAGAACCATAGTTTTCAAAAATTCTTTTAAAAAGTAAAATAAACTCAGGAAACATAGTTAAAATAGATAATAAACTCTACAGTTTCAAAAATAAATTGAAAATAGAAAAAATTCTGCCAAAATATACCTTGAAATTAAATCAGATAAGAAGACAGATTTTTAACCGAAGTGGGTCACTGAACACTGGAGAATACCAAAAAGAATTTTTTTTTTTTAAAAAGTGCTATTAAGATTTACACATGATGGTAGCATTGTTTCTTCATCCTAACTATGTGCAGGCTGAGCTCCTGGGCAAACCTGCCATATGTGCGTTGCCTACTAAGGAATTTGTTTGACTTCCCTTTCTAAAAGAGTCTTCTTTTCTCCTTCATATCTAGGCTTACTTGCACTCTGTCCTCTCCTTACTCTTCATTAGTCGAAGTTTTTTCTCTTTGTTATATGTAGAAAAACTAAATATGCAAAGATTTACCTGATGCTTTCTCTCTTACACTTGGGAAACTGATGCTTTTGAGTTGAATCACCCCATTTTGGAAGAAAAACAACTTTTTGTTCTGATTAACCAAAAAATGAACATTAAGCTTCCTTTTAAAAAATGATAATTGCACATATTAAAACTTGAATATATAATAAGTTTGTAGATAGTCATGGTGATAAACCAGAGACAGAGATAGAAATTGACAGAGGTGTACACATATATATAAGGTAGAAATTTGTCCTTTCTATTAATTAAGGTTCTGTTAGGGGAAGAAAAGTATTCCCAAACTGTGTAAGGACTTTTATAAAGGCATCAGGGGGTGATTGAAAATATGTGTGCAGGATTTATGAGAACCAAAAAGAAATATTTATTTGTATGTCTTATAAATATATAGATGATGTATGTATTATAGTATTACAGAAGGGAATTTGCTGCCAACACTAGTCCTAAAGTGTCAAGGAAAAAATAAATATTTACCAAGATATGGAAGGGACAGGAAGGATATAGAGAAGGACACTCAGCATGAGCTTTCCCTTTCTATAGAAAGATGCAGCCACCATGGGGAAGCCACAGTGAGGGTTGGTGGGGAATCAAAGGAGTAAACCCTCCAGCTGTAGGTTTTTTCTGTATTCCTGTTTTGTGCCATTTCTGTTGTTGATCATATCAAACCAGAAGTCAGAGGGCAAAGTGGCCTGTTGAGGCAGCTCGCTGTGGTCAGGACACAGAACATAGCAGATCTGGAAAAGAGCTTAAGGATGCCCTTCTTCCTGTAACCAGAGAAACCAGTCTTCCTTTCATAGTTGTATCTATTCTAGGGCTTTGTGGTCTAGGTAGTGCTCTCTATATCCCCATTAATGTGAACACTTGCCCATTACCTTCTCATCATCAGAATGAATCATTCATAATTGAGCTTATACCTAGGTTGCCAAAGAATTCAGCAATGAGAAGTTGAAATTGCTTTTTGATTTTCCTCTATTTTATACATTAGAAATACATAGACATCATGATAAATGAATATGGTTGTACTAATAATCCTCTGAATTTGGGATCTTTGATCATATCAAACTTAGATGATGTCAAAGTGATTTAAGTTCATATTTAAAAAGTAAGTATAAGGAAAAGTATAAGGCAACTGGTGCCAATGAAATCAAGTAAATTCAAATCTTTTTCTGGTAATTTCAAAAAAAGATGTGTTAATTTGTAGTTCCAAAGGGTTTCTAGTGGTATGATAGAAATAGCCTATTATTTTCATAGACTATTAGTAGATGGTGAATTTCTTAATAAGTAATTTTTCATTATGAGAGCTATTGCTTCTATTGACCTAATTACTTCTATTTCCAATTCCTGAAAGAGCCAGGTCTCAATGAGTATCTTAAATACTGGAAGATTACTAAGCCATGACATATGTGCAATCTACAGTATCTTAGTTGAGTGAATCAGTAATAGTGTTAAGACATAATTAAATCAATATTACCAGTCTCAAGACCACAATTGCAAAGATTAACAGTAGAACACATTTTAAAAAGAGTTCCTGTACTAAGCATTTAAAAGTCAGTATTGTTGATGGACACAGTTTTATTCACCCTGAGTAGTCCGCATGTCAACCCTGCTGCATGGTATAATCACCAATAGACATTTAGAAGTCGATATTGTTGACAGACATAGTGAACCTTATTCATTGAGTGAAAGTTGTTCATAGTCTAATCCAGTGTATATAATCTGTTCAACAGGAAGAACTCAATGACACAGTGAAGAAAGTACCACTCCAGAGAATCAAGATTTGAGTGATCACATTGACTTTACTGTTTATGATCTTTCAAATACACTTTATTTTTTTTATTGTAATTTTAAGAGTACAGCAAAAT